AAAGGGCGCAGCCATCTCGGATTCTGAATTCGGGATCCTCTGTGCTGCTCTGAGATATTGCTCCGAGATCTCCGAGAAACGGGACCGTGCATGTCGTTACTTCTGGCTTCAAAACTCCGGAATCCGACTCGGAATACGAGTTCCGAGGGCAAATGGAACACACCAAAACTGCCCAAAATGGGTTGACAGAGACATTTCAGGGATTTTGAATCATTCTGCGCTGCAGATGGGTTAATTGCGTTAAAAATTTTAATCAGATTAATCACGATGATGGATTAATCCGCGTTAACCCGTTAATTTTGACAGCCCTAGAAAAAACTAAAAATACAAAAACTCTTGTATTTTGTTAGGTTACTTATGGTTATGGGGTGGGGGTTAAGGTTGTCATAGTTAGCGTTAGCATTTTTCCCATTGAAATGAATGAGCGGTCCCCATAAGGATATGTTTACCCTACATGTGTGTGTGTGTCTGTGTGTGTGTGTGTGTGTGTGTGTGAGCTTGGCAGGAGCAAATCCATGGACCGACTGTGGGCCCTCGAGGACTGGATTGGTGAACGTTACCCTAGGGTCATTACTATGGCAAATGCTGATGTACATTTTGATCAAAATTAGATATATATAATATTACTGCATACACAGAAACATAGTCTACCTATTTTTATTTCTCAATTAACACATTCTGCCACAGACAGAGGTGAGTCTTGCCATGAACATATTTGTCTGTGTACAGACAGGATGATGGTCCCAGTCTGTTCCTTGTATGCTTTCTGGGATCATCAAGACCCTGTTAAGTAGTTAGGGAAGATGTATGGATGTTCTATGTATATTACATTTAACTGCAGTACCAGTAGTAATATACACAACCAAAGCAAGCTTTATGTTCAATCCTCCCACCCATGCACATTAAAACAGTCTTTCCCATCTGAAAATATTAATCCAGGTGTTCAGTCACTTTGCCTGCTGGGTAATTACTATCATTAGTCATAGTCTGGAATGTGGGTACCTCGCTCTAATCGGGCTCCTTCCTGTTTTCTGTACTGCTGGCCCCCATGAATACCTCAAATGTTTTCATTGTTATTTATTTGTCATATTATAATTAATGACCATTTGCATCACACAGAAATATATAGAAATAACGGAAGCTTGTAATAAATTGGCTTATTTTAGTTTTAAGTAGCTCTGCTGAAAAACCTCTTAAGTGATATTTAGAAATACAATAAATAAATATCAATTAAAGAACTCGTCAAGCATGTACCGTTGAGCTGAATGAGCATTGTATTTCTGGGTTATATTACAACAAACATATATAAGTTTATTCCTGGTAACACATACACTGTATAGCCAAAAGTATGTGGACACCCCAATTAATCAGAGGAATATCCTGTGTAAACCATACCCACTGGGGACACAGGTATAAAATTAAACATACATATACAGTATACAATCTCCTGTAACAAACATTGTCAGCAAACACAAGCAAACAAAACATCTGGGAACAACTTCAGTTGTGAAGTGGTCAGCCACACAAGCTCACAGAAAAAGACTTGACCACCGAACATCAGTACCCGAGTGATTCTCATGAAACCTCATTTCCGAAACCTCTATCATTATCGCAAAGGTGTCCATTTAATGTTCATTTAATAGATCAAAAAATAGTAGTTGGCTTTTTAATACATGTGTAGAATCTATATGTTGTGTTCCTTCAGGTTTGCCACATCATTTAAAAGATATATCAAGTTTCAGTGAAATACAAAAAAATATTAGGTTGTAGATTCCAGATGGTGTTGCAGTAATGACAGAAATCAGTCAAAATCAAATAAAAATGTTAATTAAAAAATCTACATTATTTCAGAGTTTCAAGTAACTGAGCATGACTTAATGAGCATGACTGTTAATAAGCAATTAAAAAAAATGATCTTGATGTTTTCAGACTGTTGCGGTAATGAGATTTTTAAGGACTTGTTTCCGGAAATGTAAAAAAAACATGTAAAATTTTCTGTAAATGATTTTAAATGTACCCTTACAAACATTTCTGACCTGGCTATTAATGGCTAAAAAAGAAATTTGTCGATGCAAGCCTTTTTAAATACTTCATTTTTGAAGTCTTTGAAACTAATATTTTGTGAGAATTACCTACCCAACTTTAATGGCAGCAAATCCATAGCATCTAATGGAAAGTTTTCCCAGAAAAGTAGAGGCTATGATAGCAACAACCTTGCTGAAAAAAACAGCACAGACCAGCAAAGCTGGTTACCAGCATGACCAGCACAATGCATGCTAGTTACACCAACATATGTTGTGTTTTGGTGCTGGTGGACCAGCTTCATGAAGCTATGCTGGGTAACCAGCACTAACCAGCACCAAACCAGCACTACCCAGCATAAACAAGCATGGAAATCATGCAGGTCCATACTGTTTTTACAGCAGGGACTGAACTGTCCAGCTTAATATTAATACCTGTGGTTTCTGAATGAGATGGTGCACAAACTGGTGTCCATATAGTTTTGGCCATGTCGTGTAATTCAATGACTTTGTATACAGTAGCCTTGGTGTGATGTACCCAAAGCAAGACAACATCACAGGTCACCTGAATGCAAAAATGGCTCAACACCAAACATTAATATTTACAATATCAAATAATGTAAATATGTATTAAATATGTGATGTTAAGTATGAGATTATTGTGAGGTAAATGGGTTGAAGGCAACAGAGAAACAACATCTCAGTGGGCTGGTTACCTTGAAACAAGACCTGGAGGGCTTCAATGTCCACTGTCTGCTGGAGCCTCCAAGTATGCTAATCAAATTCAGAATGTTGGGTAAATCGTAAATGAAGAGCAATGCTGTTTACTTCTGGGCAGCAGGCCTTACCGTGGCACTGCTCCATCTTCTCTATGGGTCGAGGTTTGTTCCACGGCTTGCAGCTTACGCCTAACTGCCGTGCACGATGCTTGGGGGCACTGTGACGTACCCTAGACAGCCAGTAAGGAGGCAAGTGTGCGTGTTCAGGAACTGTGGGGTGATGGCCAAAATCAAGGAGTGTGAGCACATGACGATAGCCACAGCAAGCTCTCTGGGATAGTTGTTTGACAGTTTGTACAAAACCCAAAACTCCTAAATAAATCACAGTCACCCCCAGACTACACTTAGTTTCTTCTCAAAGCTTTTATATAGAATTATTTTTTGTTTTTGCAGATACTGTTGTTCAATTATTCTTAAAACGAAAGGCTGATATGGATTCTTAGCACTGGATAGTTATATTTTTGGACTGTTTTTAGGGCATGTATATTAAAACGTTAGAGCAGAACAGTGCTGTCAAAGCACATTTACCTCTTAGCACTGCGTTAGCTTATTAGACTCTGCTTTGTTCAAATATTTAAAACGCTTTATCGTCTGATTTATTAACGGAAAATAAAAAAGTTTTTTTTCTGGTTTAGCCCGACAGCCATTAGCTAACCCTTAGAGCATGACAGAAATCCGTGGAATCCTTCTCTTACTTTGTGGAATATGATGGGACCCTAACATTGTGTTTGTTTTCTACACAAGTCCTGGTCCCTCATTTTAGGACAAGCTGTGCAAACACAGTGCAAACCCTTGACAACATGCCCACTGCTGTAGTGCACTGACAACAGCCAGCTTCAAACCATGAGTCACTTCCTCCCTGTACAGATCATCCTTATTATTAGGTCGTCCCCAAAACAGTTGCCGTAGCTTCACTTTCCATATGGAAGCTAAATTGTCAATAATTATTAGATACAGGGTAAGTGACCTTATTGCTATGGAAACCTGACTGCTGGGAGATGTGCAGTGAAGATTTGTGCTGTCGGGGGCATCGGCTGCCTGTTCTCTGAAAATGGGTAAGTACAGTATAACGCTGATATGTATCATTCATCCTGGATCCTCTCGCCACTGTCAGACTGCTGTGCGATGGATGCGTTCCATGCAACACTTTAAGCACAGTATTGCATTTTTTGTGACAACCTACACATCTCTAACAAATGTATGTATGTATAAAATACGTTTTAAACACAATCATGTCCAACAGAGTAATGAGGTGACATACTGTAACTGTCTGAAGACGCCTACATATTGGAGAGCGGTGTTGCTTTATAAAATCCAAAAATGCAGCCGTTTGTAGTTATTCCTTATAATACAAGGTTACCCGGTCCAGGGAAGGATCCCCAGTGGTAGCTAATGGCTCAAAAATTGAGCAGGTAAGAAGATAATACATTTTAGAATATTTCAAAAGTGATTTTTTTTCCATAGAAGAGGGAATATGTGTTTTTACATGACAAATTTTAGTACTGAGTTATTTCAAAATGACTTGTTTCATAATTTAATCTCAGAAATAGAGGATGTACGGCATCCTTTGCGGCTGCGGTCCAGCTGCCAGTGAGGATATCGCATTTCTCCAAGGATATATCAAGGCGTGTCAATTCAAGAATTCTGCATCAAAAATGAAAACTTATTTTAGAGTAGCTTGTATCAGCAGAAGGACAGTATTTTTTCACACCAAAGGGAGACGGGGTACCGCACGGTGTAAGGTACATGGAAATGCCTTGGATCTGGGGACTGGTGACTGGCAGTGGTGATTTAATCGCTTTCTCGTGTCTCCAGCAGTATGTGAGAACGGTAGACTTGTTCAGGTACTCCTGAGCTGGTACAAACCGAACAGAAGTGAGCACTCCGTGCATATCTACCAAGAGCAAAAGGGAATGAATGTCTTTTACAGTAAGCTTTTGTGAGACGACAGCACTCAGATGCAGCAGCACTGGAGCAAGACATCAGCAATACAGTCACTCAGAGAAATGGACGTTTGACTGTCAGCTGAGGTGCGATGTGAGGTGACCGCACCCTCTCTGTCCTGAGGATTCCCTCTAGTTCTATGCTGTGACAGATTGTGTGACAGCTGTTGCGGTCTTTGACAGAATGTCCCATGTCCCAATGCTGCATGTCACCCATGCTGCGTGTCATTCACCAACAGCTCACATTCCTTGTGACTATTGAACTTTGAATGGTGCCAAAGTGAACTTGCTAGATGTTTAGAAATTCAAATTGAAGTGTTACTATATCTGGAGCTATTAAGAGAAAAATATTCATAATGCAGAATAACTGTAAGACTTGTGTCAGCATCTAGTCGTGACTGGTAGCCCATCCAGGGTCAGGTCACTGAGACCCCATACTGGGTAAGGTGTGATGAAACTTGGATAGCTGGATGATTGAAAAATGGAAGGTAACATATTGAAAGTTTCTTATCAGAAGAATAAAGACATTTCTGTAAACCAGTGTTCCACAATTCCATTCCTAGTGGGCCAGACTGCATCACACTTTGTGGATTTTCCTACTCAAACACACCTAATAATTAACCACCTACTAATGCTGAGCTAAGTAAAGGTGTGTTTGAGCATGGAAATCTGCAAAGTGTGTTGGAGACCGGTCCTCCAGGACCGGACCTGGGCAACCTTGGAGGGACTTCATGAGTGCATTTGAGCTGAAGCCTGACTGCTATGTGTAAGTTAGGACAGGGTCTCAGTCTGAGTGGTTGATGGAAACAAGGTGCTCAACCTGACTCCTGTATCTGTCCGTGGGCTTTTTATTATGGCTGAACTGATATATCGACTCGGTGATAAAATCGACCAGCATTAAGGTGAATTTATTGCTTTGAGGGAAAACCCGCCGATAAAGCACTGATGATATCTCCTTAAACATTTACGATGAGAAAAGGAGCCCAGCCTCTCGCCAGAGAAGATGTGGGGAAGCAGTGATTCCTGCCTCACAACTTACAGCTTTTAGCCTGGGTCCTTCAGCATGTTAACGATCGACTGGGAAAGAAAATTTCGCATTGTACTGTACAAAAATTTTTGGACTAAAAGCTTCTTGTTTGTGAACACGGTTCATTTGTAAGCTGCTTCTACTTTTCTATTTTCTGAGAGTTTTTAATTTGCTTTTAAGTTTTTACTGTAGGTTAGGTTTTAAGTTTCACGGGTCTGCAATGGGGTGGTGACCTTGTTTATTACCTGGCTTGTGCTTGTAGCTTCTGCGATAGGCTCCGAACCCTCGTGGGCCCTGCATAGGAGAAGGAAGCATACATGATGGTTGGATGGATGGATGGATGGATGGTTGGTTGGGTTGATGGGTGATGGATGGAAGTTTTAAAGGTGTAAAGTGGTTTGATTATATTTGTATATTAAGATTGTGATGTTGTTCTGTTTGAGTGTGGAAAAACTGATAATCTCCATGAGTACAGCAGTCAAAATGTTTGGAGTTTTTAACAAACTAAAATTATATAAGTTCATATTGCCAGTTAATGGGATTTTTTGCTCCTTAAAATCGCATATCATGTCTGAGATAAATTTCTCATTCTTTTTAGCACCAGGGATGCTGCAGGCATAGTATGTCAATAAGTCAATAATGATAAAATAAGTATATTACGGGCATATCACGTATCCATTGTTCAGAATAGGGAGCAGAATGACTTCTGAAGCTGGATGTAGACACTGCTAATCAGTTCCAGTGTCTGTTCCTCACAACAGTGTCAAAGTCGGTCCCACACCATTAAAAACATTTTGGAGATACGTGTGGCTGCTGGACTTCAGTGGAGGCAGCTGGTGTGTGGAAACGCTACGTAAAAAGGTGTAAAATCTGTGCAATGTTTTACGTAATATTTTTTTCAGGATAGCTGTTGTTTCCAAAAGCTTAATTATTTTTAAATGTTGAGGGTGACAAAGCATCAGCCATCATGGAGACCCCCCCCCCCCCCCCCTGAAATCCTGCCTTTGTTCCTCCCTTCTTTAAGTGCGCATCTGTGTCTTCGAGCTTGGGGTTGATGCCTTTGAGTCAGGTGGGTTTATTTAGCATAATCCAGTGTCTTTCCTACCATTTGTGTCATCATTTTTTCTTATAGGGATAGATACATAGATAGATAGATGGATGGAGGCATGGATGGATGGAGGCATGGATGGATGGATGGACGGATGGATGGATGTACTTTATTGATCATGGCTGGGAAATTCTTTTATTACAGCAGCAAATATAAATTACAAACATAAGTTACACAGTAGTACGGAGGCCCTGAAGGGACCTGTGCAAAAAAATAAAATGTTCTTACTTTCCTGTGCGCAGGAGATACTTCCTTAAGTATAGGAAGAGTTTAAGAAAAAAGACACCATTTTCTGACAGAAAGGAACAGATTTTTAAACAATGATTTCTTTTTTTTAATTCATCTCTTGGCCTCCAGTGTGTCTGCCTGTTCGCAGAGGATTGCTACTGAAACCTGGTGGCTATCTTTATTGATTTTTCTCCTCCCAGAGATTTTTTCCCCAGTTTGTATCAGGCGTTTTAAACTGGCTGTGGTTAGTTGGGAGGGAACGCTTGACTTGTCACACATGTGATTTTTAGATTGACATCTGCTGGAAGTGGACGGGGCAACTTTGCTGAATTCTCATTAGGGCATCATAAAACTTGTTTCTAATGGTGGAGATGGGTTAGGGGTGTCATGTGAAGGACACAGTGCAGAACTGGCAGGTTTTCTCAGCAAGAAGCCGATCACAGCCCACATCAAATGCCTTTACCATTCATCAGGCTACATCCAGGGGACCCTTGAACAATGATGTAAGTATTTTGCTGTTTTGGACTTAACTGTACTTAACTGTTTCTCTTAATCCTGGATAATGCCCAAATATGTCATTCTATACTAAATTTCCATGCACAGGCAGTCCTCAAGTTACGAATGGGTTCCATTCCCTAAGTCTTTCCTTAACTGAAATTTGTAGGTATCGGAAAAATACTAAAACAGTTATTACAAACCCAAATTTTAAATGTAACAGACGTATGGCAGTCCAGTCGTAAGTACGAGCTTTCCGTGAGTCAGCTCATTTCTGTAGACAGACAGACAGACAGACATGCTTGACAGATACATTTGGAATTTTGTTTTTGGTCTTGCTTTTCATTGGTATGCTTAATTAACGTAGTAAATTCTTTAATGACATTTAAAGAGCAGTTTTGTATAAAATGCAAACAGACACAATGCATAATGAAGTTTTCATGGAAAAACAGAAGCTAGTAATTCAATCTAGTAAATCATCTGAAGCTAGTAAATCATTTGCTCCCTTGGTAGCCCTGTTGGTAGCCCTGTATTAAGTGAGTAAGTATTAAGTAAGCAGGGCAGTAGGGCATGTCCCGGGGACATCTGGACTCCCCCCCCCCCCCTTCCATTTTTCTGTGAGAGAGACAATAAGTCTGTAGCACTTGCATTTCTGGGAGTAATTAGTATCGCCTTCCCCATGCTCATCTTCTAAATGAGCTGTTGCACATGTTGCCATCATAGGCCATAATCATTCTGAACCAGAATTACTGGACCACCATTTTTATAGTTTGATTGCTGCTGCTCAAGAGACATTTTGAGCCAATCTGACAGCTTATAGGTCACAAACTCAAATAACCATTCATAAACATTTTCACTGGGTCACAGATTTAAAAAAATAAATTTTCAAATGTTTGTACCATCAGACTTTTGTGGTCGGAAATGATGAGTACTGTCCTAGAATTTTTTCTTTTTTTACTGCCAGTACCTCCCCCCCATTCATTTTTGGTGAAACAAACAAACAAACAAATACAAAAATAGGGTTCTTACATAATGACTGGAATACTATGGGTCCTGGGGCTACACCAGTTCTAGATAATGGAGCTGGGGATTGTAATAAAAGCAGGTTACATAGGGTACAGAAGAAGGAGCCCTCCCTAGGCCTCAGGCTGAACCTTCCTGGTCAGGCAAAAAAAAAAAAACATTAAAAACAGTCATGTGGCTACAAATCTTATTTGCATGTATTTATTAATGGGAACTGTATATAGCTGGGTG